AGCATTTGAGCACGATTCATGCTCACAGTAGGTATTCAACACATGTTTGTTGAATGAGGAACACAAAGACATTGCAAAAAAATGAAATCTCAGGTATACTGAATTCTCAGAGCCCCTTGTTTGCAGCTCAAATGAACAAGATCTGAAGGTTCACTGTCATCAAAAGCAAACGCTGGCCCATCTCCAGAGGGCATCTACCCCATCCTGGCTTCTGCTTCAAAGTTTCCCCTAAGTCCTAGTCGCAGCCCTCTTGATCTTTCCCTGTTTGCTCATTAAAGTTAATTTGGGACATGAAAACATCTAGGACTGAATATTTCATTAAGGGCAGGTCTTCTTAATGCAGCAACTGCAGACAAAATGTAAACATAGGAAAGAGGTTGCCAGTATGAGGCCAACACCTGTAGCACCTGTTTAAACCCCAACTGCTCTGTTCACTGACTGACAACTTCAGTCAGCTTTGGGGATACTAAGAATACCAAGAGAAGTAGATTATGTCTATTCATGAGTCCTCAAGGAGCTCCAAGGCTCTCCTTCAGGGAAGGGGGAGGACCATAAGGAAACAGCAATTTGTATGAAAATAGTCTAGTCTAGAGTCCTGGGTATGGACTAAGATGATTGCTTACAATATCAGCTACCATTTTCTGAGTTCTTACTGCGTATCAAGGATTGTGCCTAGTGTTTTTACATGGATTGTCTTTTCTAAACCTCACAGTAACCCCATGAGGAGATACTATTATTGACCCCATATTATACTTATGAGGAATAAATGAAATTCCAACCATGGAATAAGAGATTCCAACCATGGCAGAGTAATCCTAAAGTTTGCACTATTAACCGCCTCACTCTATTGTTTCTTAGGATCTCTCAGAATGTTCTAGTCTTAGCAGGCAAGAAAGATTATAACCAATAACTGGTGCACTTGATGGTGTGGCTTTGAATGAGGTACCGGTGAGGTACGACCTTCATTTTTCTTAAATTTGGGGATTTAATAAGTGAATTTTACACATAAGTGTAAAAATTCACTTATGAGGAATGAAAGAATAGAGGTTTTCACATCCACCACTGGTTCTATGAGAACCCACGGACAATTTTGACTTATGTGACATGCCAGATGGCATATGTCAAATTTCCAAGATTCCACAGGACTATTTGTAAAGTTTTACAAACCTGGAGCTGAAGGGGTATAAATGTGGAGAGCATAGAAACACAGTAATGTGTCACCAGTCTCAAGTCCCATAACCTTCAGTTCCAAGAGACATATATTTATTTCAGTGGAAATTTTAATTCTGGGAAACATAAGTTACTCATTCCTATGGAAATATTTTCAAAGGAGGAACTGGGGTCAGGACCAAAAAAGGAACACAGAACCATAAAATAAAAGGTTAAAAAGAAGCCCAAATATATAAATGATCACAATAAGAGTAAGTATCTTAAATTGCCCTGTCAAAGTAACACAGATTTTCAGAACAGGTTATACTATAAAAATAATAAAAGAAAATAAGATATTAAAAAGCTAATATCAAACAAAAGAAAACTAAAGATGAGAACCATAATAATTAAAAGGGAAAAATATGATTTTTTTTTTTAGAGTTTTATCTTTTTTTTTTTTTT